ACTGCATTTTCTTCATTGATATTTTTGATGTTCGAGTGTACAACCTAGGTGATGGTAGCACCATGACCTTGGAACTTGATCCATGTACTTCAAAACTGTTTTGGCCTCCCCCTTCTTGGCTCAGAATCTAAGCACAAAGCCAATCTTAAAAATATTCGACTCGTCCAAGGTAGAATATACTCCCTTTTCTTATAACTTGATTCTTTATTACTTGTCTGACATGCTTATTCTGTTAAATACTGTGCCTTAGCTTGCACAGACATCACCAATCGAGACCAAAACACGGCGGAACTGTAATTGATGATGCAGTTTATTTGTCAAATGTCATGATCTCTCTCTCTGTTTGATACTAATGATTCCAAATAGAGTTATACATGAAAGAGACAAATGATGATTGGGCTAGCTAAACGTTTGTTATTTATAATGAGTCTGTTCAATTCATGAGCAGATGGACTTGATGATTCATGACGTTTCTGCATATTGTGGGGAGTCCAATCTGACCGTGCTATGGTATCGTGCGTTAGTTGTGCTTAGAAAATGAAGGCGCAAGCTGTGAGAAATTAAGGTCATTCAACTTCAAGCTTCTGGATGATACAACTACGTAGCTGGATTCAGCCACTGTCAAATAGGACCATGTTGCCAAAATAAGGGTGGGTGCGTGAGTCCCCCTCCTGTAAAAGGGGCACCTCTCATGAATCCCCATCGAGAGAGAAAGGTGCTCTGTTTATTATCCTCTTAATTTTTTAAATAGGATTGTCTCTTATACTTAACCAAAAAAACAAAAAAGTCAAATTGTCTAAAAAAAAAAAAGCCGCAGCGTGACATTATTTTTATTTTTCGGTCGGCAGTTAAACTGCCGAATATGTTTTGATTTACTTCTTATTGATAATCTCTTTCCATCTACTCAATGTATAGCTATTTTTTTCAGTACCAATAAATAGGAATATTCAAAGGCAAAACAGCAAACTTTTTTTGCTAACAAAAGAAGAGAGCAAACTGTAGTAAGCTTTTTAAAAGTTTGTTATAAGATGGACGGGTCAGGGATTTTTTTTCCTATCAACCATATCATTAAAATATTGAAATGAATATTTATTAAAATGTGTCTCTGTCTCTATCAAACAACTTTAAATGTTATGAAGATTAAAATATTTGGGATGTCCGTGCTCATTTTAAGTTCCATTCTGAGTAGAAAAATGTTGAGAAATTAAACAAACTACAAATTTCTGACCCCAAAAAAAAAAACAAAAGTACAAATAAAAAATATTATTGTATTATTGATTACATTTTACGAGCCATCTCTTGTCACGTTTCCGAACTCATGATCGATAACATAAGTTTAAATATTTCTGAAGAATATTAGAGCAAACCTTTACTAAAATAACCAAATAAAGAAAATGGAGCGATACGGGGAGTCTACTTCTATTAGGTTAACTTATAATGCCGTTGGCATAAAAAAACCTTGTTTTTTAGCTTTTGTTTTTTCATTTGAAGAGCTTTCAGATAAGATGGAATGGATGTGATCTCATTCTGACATTTTTTGTTATTTACAATATCTCATGTTGAAGATGCTTTTACATATATACATAAATAAAATAATTATGTGACATGTCCATTTAATTGCAGCATTGTCTATATATATATATGAGGTGAAATAATCTGGGAAAAAAAATTAAAGGTATGCTTGTTGACATGAATATTAAATCAAAACGCTGAGAATTCATAGAATGTGAATTTGCCAGCAAATAAAACAGAGTGGAGGAAGAGAGAGAAAGGTGAAGAAGAATGGAGTGGAGAAATTAAAAAAGATCAAGAGAAGAGAGAGGACGGGGGTGAGAGAAGAAGTGGAAAGAAGAAAGGATGGGGCAGAAGAAACGAAGAGTGGAAGGATAAATGTGGGGGGAAGAGAAAAATTAAGACACGGGGGCACAAAAAGAGAGATTTTTTTTTTCGAATTAAATATAAACACCTCTTTTAATAAAAAATTTAATTTCAATTCTCTGTCTAAAAGTTTAACAAACTGCAACATTGTATTCAATAAAACACATTTACATGAGGTGGCTAACATTAATTCCGGCAACAAAGTGGGGATCGAGAGAGAGGAGGCGCACGTGTTGGCTGTCTCCCCCTTCGCACATTCATCCGCTGCCCAGGTGTCGAAGTGTTGTTGATTTTTATCGTCAACTTGCTCTTTTGATCAAATATATGCGTTTCTTTTTAAATTTAAAGGCACGCTCACTGACGATACAAGATTAAAGACGAGATGAGTTTTTATGCTATTATGCCATTGACTTAACATCCACTTTTTATTTATTATGGAATCAAACTCGCTGCTTTTTATTGAGAAAAAAATTATTGATGCCACTAACTTAGCGTTTAAGGCTGTTTTTTTTTTAAAAAAAAAACCTGTGTAATTTCCGAAACATGGTAGTAGCTGGAATCCTTGTGAGCTTCTGTGTTGGAACGACAAATGTCCATGGAGAGTCAACTCAAGAGCGTATCGGAGTCAAATTGGTGCGATCTTCCGTCGGAACTCTGGCCCCAGATCTGCAAATCTCTCCACAATCACATCGACCTTGTCCGATTTCGTAGCGTCTGCAAGTCATGGCGATCCTCAATACCTCCCTCTCTCCTAACTCTCCTTCTTTATTCCCTCTCCGAATCCCCCATCCCAGCAATCCCTCCAAGTTCGTTTTTCTCTCTCAGTCCACTATTTATCGAATCGAACCACCCCACCAACCCTCACCTTCTTCTCCCAAAGGCTGGTTAATTAAAGTAGGAAAATCAAATCCCTCACAACCTCATGCTCTTCGTCTCCTAAACCCACTTTCCGACCAAAAAATCCCGAAACCACGCCGCTCTCCTCGGAGAAGATTGAACCTGCTGGACTATCGGGCGGTGGAGTTATACAAATCATATAGCCTCCAGCAGTCCGGATTTCCTATAAAGAAAGTCGTGTTCTTCCCGACCTCGTGTTGGTCTGACGTAAAGGATTCTGTGGCCTGCTGTATCTATCAGGAGGGTAAGTTGGCGTTGTTCAAACATGGAGACAACAAATGGACGCTCGTGGATGGTAAGAATTATTACTATGATGATGTTATTGTGTACAAAGGTCAGCTTTATGTGACAGATTGGGGGGGTACCGTATCATGGATCGACACATCCTCGTTGAAGCTGATTCAATATTCGCCTCCCTTGTGTGGTTTGGGACACAAGAAGCATTTGGTTGAATCTAGTGGGAATCTTTATATTGTTGATAGGCACTATGGCAGTGAACGCACAAGGCCGGATGATGAAGCTTCGGTTGTGGATTTTAAGGTTTACAGGTTGGATGAAGAGTGGGGGAAATGGGTGGCTGTGAAGGATTTGGAAGACAGAGTGTTTATATTGGGAAATAGCAGCAACCTGTCGGTTTCTGCCAATGATTTTGCTGGGTATGCAGGAAACTGTATTTTCTTTACTGATATTTTTGATGTTCGGGTGTACAACCTGGGTGATGGAGGCACCATGACCTCTAAACTTGATCCTCGTAGTTCAAAACCGTTTTGGCCTCCCCCTTCCTGGATCAGAATCTAAGCACATTACAATATTTGACTCATACAGGTAGAATATAGTCCCTTTTCATATAACTTGATTCTTTATTACTTGTTCCACATGTTTAGTCTCTTAAAACACTGTTCCTTAGCTTATATATCACCAATATACATAAATATATATAAAATGTAGACCAAAACTAACGAGTTATATATGCTAGTATATGAAACAAATGATGATTGAATTGAACCAATTAAACGGTTGTTATGGTGAGTCTGTCCAATTCATGAGCACTGGGGACACGGCGTTTTTGCATACTGGGGGATGTCCAATCCGACTGTGCTGCGGTGGTAGGTTGCAGCATTTGTGCTTTGGTTATGGTTAGAAAAATGAAAGTGCAGGCAATAGGAAGGAGGGTTCATTCAACGTCAAGCATCTGGACGAGACAACTACCTGGATCCAGTCGCTGACAAGTGGGCCCGGCCTGGCATTATTTCTATTTTCTATCTGCAGTCATGAATTTTAATTAGAAAATGTGTTCATCTTTAGTGGGCGAGAGCCTGTTGTGCATAAAAAAAACAAAAAAGCGATTAATACATTTCGATTTACTACTCATTGCTAAGCTTTATACGAAGTTCTTATAAAAAAGAGATCAGAGAAATTTTTTTTTGTCATAGACCATCGTTAAAATGTTGAAATAAACAAACATTTATTGAAATGTGATCCTATCTGTGTTAAACACTTTTCAAAATTACTAAGATAAAAATATTTGAGATATTCGTGCTGGTAATTTCTTGAGTATAAAGAATGTTGAGAAATTAAACAAATTACATGCAAAAAATAATGTATTATTAAAAATATGTTATAAGCTATCTGTTATCTTGTTTCCAAACTTATGATTCATGATAATATAAGTTAAATGGTTTGCGGAGCGTGCAACCCCAATTATATTGATAATGACGCAGTATGTGTGACGATGTTATTTATCGTATCATCTTGGGAACCTTTTTAAGATGCGTGCCTGAGGTGTTATTGTCAAACGCGTGTGGCTCTACAAAAACAGAGTAACATTCTTTTATCCAAATTGGAGAATGTTGAATGTTGAAACTTTCTAATCATATATTAAGCTGTCACTCGATTATTAAACTTAACACATTTAAATTAAGTCCAATGAGAAATTAACTATGTGAGTCATGGCCTTTTATTGAAATTAGATTGGTCTCTGAACAATAAAATACAACTTAATATATGATATTAATTCCAAAATATCTATTCACAGGAGTACAGGGGAATCAGCTAAAAATTTAAAATGGACATAAAACTTTAAGTGATACAAAAAAAAAGCCTTTCATATGCAATATACATGACGAAATTTTAGTTCAAACGCCAACCAAAAAAAAAAAAGGGTTCTATCTGTCTGAGCTGTTCTTAGTTTCTCCTCCTTCGTTTTTGTGCTCTGCAACTGCAAGCAAAGAGTGGGAAGGGGGAATGATCCTATGAGATGCACCTCATGGAGTAGGTGGAGATAGGGGATTCAATGGACGATGGATGGCACACCCTGGCGTGATCGCTCTCCAATCCATAATCCATCAGGGGCCTATATTCCAAGTCTTCATCGTGATCGTACACAAACTCTGGTATTTCCACCTCATTCCTCTTGACATTTTCCCACAGATAGGCCAGCCTGCTCACGTACCTTACCTTCCCGTACAACCTACCACACCCAAATAAAACCTCTTGACAGAATGTCTAACATTTTTAATTATTCTCTCTGCTTTCCGCTTTACTAATTCCTTTTTTTTCCCTTCATGTTGGATTCTTTGGATTAGAATATTTTTTAAATCCTGAATTTAGCTAATTTGTCCCCTCCAAGAAAGGGAGAGAAAGCAGAAGATCCAATTTGTTGTTAGACGACTAAACGCTAACCAACCATAAATGCTTATATTAGCAAATCTGATTGTATCAAAACTAAATTGCGCCAAACTGAAAAGCGTTTGAAAACCTGAAGCCTTACCCAGCATTGAAGAGAAAACGGCCAAACGTGGCGAGGAAAAGCCGCGCCTGGAGGCCTGGGTGCACAAAATACACGGCCTCCAAATTTTCCTTTGCATTCAACGGAATCGCATCGTAGATTGATCTCAAGGCCGATATTCCTGGAAAATTCTCGCTCCGCTGAACGCCGGTATGAACATATAACACCGAGAATTTCTTCTTCTCCAGTTTCGGGAAAATCCTCTCCTCTAAATACCTTCTTAGAAGGTCAACGCTCACCAGCCGAGCTGGCACGCAAGGAAATCGATCAAGAAAATTGCCACGGAGAGAAAAACGAAAGATATGATCGAATGATTGTGAAGAATACAAAGAACGATGACTGGGTGAGTGAATTTACCAGGGAAAAACTTGCCGATGATGCGAAGGATCTTGCGGCCTTGCTTGTCTCTGCCTCTGATCTTGAAGACCTGCGATTTGTGAAGTAACTCTAGTTTCTCGATCTCGGATATGTTATCACTCATTATCTTGTTCATCAGAGTTCTTCTTCAGTTCTGGGAATTGACGGCAACAGAATAAAATCGGGTCGCGGGATGTTATGGAATGGGATTTGCGTGTAAAAGTGGAAAATTGAAGACGATGAGAACGGATATCTTAATCTTAAATAGAATAAAAATAATCATGCTTTAATTTAATTTTATTAAAATTATAATAATTATATACATTTCAACAAAATTGGAAATAATAATTTTGTCCAAGATAATTTCATTCAATTTTAATTTTATATGCCAATTTTATTATATAACTAGTTATTAAATGTCGTAATTTATAAAAATATTAATTTAGGCACCATGGTTAGATTCGATAAGATTTAGATAAGTTTGTTGATGATAATGATTATATAATGGTAATATCTTAATACTGTAAATATGTATGATTTATCAACATCAGGATGATTAAATATATAAAAAATAAAGTGGAGTAAACCCGTAAATGTAGTGAGATATTGATAAGATATAGCAATAAGGATTAAATTAAAGTTGAGCGAAAATTTATGATTTTCTCACACAAAAATCATGTTAAATTTATATGTTTCTAGTAAATTAAAAAATTTAAATGATTTTAATGGGAAAAAAATTGGCCACCGATTTTTATATAATTAAAAAGTTTATATAACAAGAAATTCATGTTGCCCCAGGGGTCGCAGAACCACGGTTCCGGGTTTTGACCGAGATATCGGGTCACAGGGGCATATTCCTATGCGTATCCTGTTGTAATTTGAATTAAATACAAATAAAAATAATTGGGCCCTATTCACCCAAAAAAAAATTGGGCCCTATTTGTTATTAAAATTGAAATCACTTATAAGAATTTTTTATATAACTTGAGATAAAACTTTTGTTATATATTTATTTTATATTTTGTAAATCAAAATAAAAAAATTGATTATAAATCATTCTAAGTAGGATCTTAGTTTAGTCTAATTAGTTGGGTTCATAAAGTAATACAAAGTGTAATACTATCTCGAGTTGTAAATATAAAAAACTAGTTGACTAATTTAAGTAGATTAAGAAAATAAGTTAAATTAGTTATTTGCAATAAATAGGTATTGACTTTCCTAAAATATCCTTACTAATCAAGTGTATTGGTTAGAATTATTATTATTAGAAGGATTATCTTAGGAAAAAAATACATAAATATGAAAGATAAAGTGGATTGAGGTTTTATATTTAGAATCAAATTAAAAGTTAAATAAGTTCTTATAATAGTATTAAAGACCGGAGGTAGTAGCATGTTTCAGAATATAACCAATAAAAAAGGTCTAACGATTATATGAGAATATTACTGGTTAAGGTTATTATGCAGCCTAATACTTAAAAAAAAAAAAAAGAAACCTTGTTGTTATGTTTGAGCTTGATCACTTGATAGGTGAAGTTCACATTTTCTAAAATCAATCCATATTCTTTTATTCCACAGAGCAAAGAAAAAGGAGAAAAAAATGTGAAGTTCCTTTGAAACGAGGAAAATAGAAAATAAAGAAAGAAAATGTCAGATAATCTCAATCATGCCAGAATTCAATGGCGAGTTTGTTGTGCCATCGCGGTCCTCATCATTGACCACGATTTTAAAACCAAATGGAAAAAGTATTGTTCATATCACTGACCACGATTTTAAATTTTAAAACCAAATGGAAAAATAATGTTCATGCTTTTGGGTGATTTGTAAAGCCTAACAAAAAAAAAAAAGAGAATCTAAAAAGGATGAAAAGCTTTTCATCAGTTAAGACTGATGAATTCGGAACAAAATGTTTGCAAAAGCAGAGAGGTATTACTTCTTGTTATTAATATAAAAATTAATTGACCAATTTAAGTAGATTAAAAAAATTTATTAAGTTGTTTATTTGTAATAAATAGATACTGTATTATCTAAAATACCTATACTAATTAAGTATATTAGTTTTAATATTTGATGAAATATTTATCACGTGTAACTACTATAAAGACCATCTTAAAAAAAATAAATTAAATTAAGATATTATACTAAATTAAAAATCAAACTAATTTTTATATTAAGAGTTTGAGATAGTAATATAATTTTCCCAATGATACATAGATTTGAATGGTTGATCTGACGTGTTTAAAAATTGGTACTCCTCTAGTCCTTAATATAATATCCATTTAACTAATTTGATTATATTAAGGAAGTCAGGTAAGTTAATTAATTATAAGAAATGTGATACATTTTTTCTAAAACACCATAATCATCTTTCTTAATACCTCCTTTCCCTCTTTTACTTGATTATGGTTGAAGGAATATCTATAGGGATAATTTAGAAAAAATAGATAAATATGATAAATGGATCTTATATTTAAAACTAAAATCAACTCAATAATTATGTCCTATATCAAGGACAGGAGGAGTACGTCATTTCTCGAGCCACATTTTCCACCTACGTTCTCATAGTCATATTTATGTCCTCGTTCATCTTCCTCACAAAAAACTATGCGGCTCTGTTTGGATAGCACCCCAAACCATGGTTTGGGGAAAATGCTACCCAAACAGCCTCTCCAAAAATCAAAACCATGGTTTTGGGTCAAAACCATGGTTTTGACTCCAAAACCATGGTTTTGGAAAAAGCAAAATTTTTTTGCTTTTGGAGAAAAAAGGGAGAGTGTGAGGGCCTATATGATATGTATCTTGTTATTTTTTTTATAAACATATTTTTTTATAAATATATTTAATCTTATATTTTATAAATATATATAGACATTAATTATTTATTAATTATATTATCTTATGTATTATTAATTATATTGGTAAAAAATATATTATTAACAATTTTATTTCTTCAAATTAAAATATATCATAAAATCTATTTTTTCTGTAATTATCATATTAACTTATGTCTTTTTTTTAGTAATTTGTATATATAAAAAGTGCTTCTGATAACAACTATCCAAACACTCTCACTTCTCAGAATCACTTTTTTACAAAATCTATTCTTCACAGAATCTATTTTTTCCAGAATCTATTCTCCAGAATCACTTTTCCAAACCACGGTTTGGTTTCATCCAAATACACCCGCAATCTCAGAAAGAGGGATTATTTGATGTCACTTTCAGGGAGAGAGGCCCATTTCATGGCCCAATCTTCTGCCCATGATGCATTAAAGAATGGGCTTGAAATATGAAAAACAAGTTTAATACTTCCATGTTTCATTGCATTTGATCTCTCTCCCTCTCTGCTCTCAGAAAGATGAATGATTTAATGGGACTTTTTCACGTGTAAATTACTAAAAAAAATATATAAATAAGAAGCATCCATAAGAAAGGCAAATTTATTATTTACATAATGAATTAATAATTAATATGTACATATGTTTTGATAGAATCATGGGTTTTCTCTCAAAAAATAGAAAAATTGGCTTCTTGAAAAATCATGGCTTTAGCTTTTAAACCGTGATATTGATATAATAATCAATTATTGGGGTTTTAATGAAAGTGTTTAGATGGTTATCTCTCCAAAGCCATGCCAGTACCCTTAAGAAAATGTCAAGGCGTGGCCAAGCAGGCGGAACAAATCTTGCCACGTGGACAAGAAGTAGGAAGAGCTATCCACGACTGTCAGTGGCAAATCGCCAGGGTTCGTAGCAGGCGATCACCACTGAATTGGTCTGAGCCTCTGAGGTGCGGGGGCCGCGGGACCCACATTTGTTATTATTTCTTGGAATTTGAAACTGGGCTTATCCATACCAAAACTTCACGTCATATCCAATGCATCACCACTACCTTCTGATCTGGCCTAAGGAATTATTTCTTCTAAATTTAAAAACTATGTAATATTTTAAAAATATTTTAGGACTAGAATATGTATTTTCATATTTATAATTTTTTACTTTTGGCCAAAAAAATATTTATAATTTTTTACATTATTTCAATTTCTACTCTATTTTGTTATAGTATTTTCAAACATTTCTATCTCAAACATTGTATTAATTGGCCCAAAAACAAACAAATTAAAAGGCCCGATTAAAAGATAAAGAACGTGATCAGTACACCTGCTGATGACGTGGCATTAATCCATTAGCGAAGCACGCCGCTCGCTCCTTCGCGCTCTCATCTTCGTAAGTAGTGTATAAAAAAGACGAGCCCACTTCTTGGCCGCTACCGTGCTCTGTTCTCGTTCTCACTTTCCGCTTGGCAATTGAAAACCATTCGTTTCCACTTCCCTTTCATTCTCAAGCTCTCTGAAACACCACCATCACAAAACCATGATGACGACGTCGATTCGTATCTCCGGCTTCCTCCTCTCTCCTCCTCTCCGCTCCGCCAAGCTGGATCATGCTCCAAGGTTACTTAATTCACTCAATTGTGATATTATTCTACGTTACGTGTTTCTGTTTCTGTTTCTCTTCTTGATGTTCGTGATTAATTGCATGCAGAATTTCATTTCTGAAACCGTTGAAGTCTCGTCAGGCGCGGAGCGTTAGTGTTGTTAAAGCCAACTTTCCAAACTACTGGTGCGTATACTGAACGGGAATCGAATTGAATTGTTGCATTTTCTTTCTGTTAGATTGAATTTTATTTTCGTGTTCCTTTGAATTCTCAAGCACGAAAGCTGCTCTGAACGGGAATTTGGAGACCGTCGGAGTTCCGACGTCGGTGCCAGTGCGTGTAGCCCATGAGCTGCTTCTTGCTGGACATCGCTATTTGGATGTGAGGTTAGATAAAACTCATCCGTAGCGCATGGTTCAGTAATTTTTTTTTTTTTGGGGGAATTGACGTTTCCAGAGAGTTCCGATTCAATTCGAAATCACTCGTCGTTCCTTGCTTGCTTGCTTGTAGAACTCCCGAAGAATTCAACGCAGGACACGCTCCAGGCGCAATTAACGTACCATACATGTACAGAGTTGGATCAGGTTCTCTTGATTTCTCTCTAAGAGAGCAATTACAGTGAATGCATGGCACGGAAGAAATTCTGTGCTACACCTCTTTTTTGAAGTGAAAAATGCTAAAAATTAATTTGGAGGTTCGGTAGCGACAGTAGCCACTCTGTTTTAGATTATTCCC